CTCTCAAATAAATAAAAATCTTAAAGAAAAAAAAATGAAAAACCTAACCTGTAAGCCTGTCCCTCCATTATACTTTACTGTTTAAAGAATAAATAGATTTCATCTTTGTGGTGATGGAGTAGAGCGGAGCAGGGGGAGAAAGGAATCATTCTGAATCAATTCTAAAAACCTCAGTATATTGTTCATTACAACAGTAGGTTTTTTCAGCTTGTTTTTCTTTAAAAAAAATGTCTATTTTTTTCTTTCATTTATGCCTTCAACAAGTCAAGTGTTTACAGTGCCCAGTTTGGTCCATGTTTTGGTGTGTCACTAAGAGTGGGAAATTAGAAAATATATTTGGATAAGTTCACCCCTCTACCCTTCAGACTGCCACAGTCTCATGAGGGAAATAAGACAGGAACATAAATGTCAGAGTAAAATACACTTTCTGGCATGTACATTTTGGAAGCACAGCACCAGTGAAGTCTTATCAAGTAGCATTTTATCATCTTACATTGGGGTAAGGAAAAAGAAAGTGAACTAATTTGAGTGCCTGCTGTATGATGGGTGCTTTACAAAGCCTGTACCACATTAGGTAATTAACACCTTTTACCATTTTTTTAGATAAGGAATTTGTGTTTTACAAAGATTAACTAAAAGGTGCAACATGACACAGATGATGGCAGAATCATGAACTGAACTGTGTGTTACTGCCTCTTGAAGGCACGATGTGGGAGATGTCAATTCTGGTAACTTGATTACTTAGTAAGATGTTTTTCTTCTCTTCAGCAACAGTTCTTTGAATGTAATAGACTAGGATTGAATTATAGTGCACTTTGTGTTACAGAATGGCAATATTCTCTTTCTATAACTTCTTCTTGCTTTGTATCTGTATTCCAGATGTTGAATTCTCAACTTTCACTGTTTTACATCTTCTTCAACTAACTGTTCCTGGCCTTTCTCATTCTGTTCAAAATCTGCTATCTGATTCTAGGGTGCATTAGTTTCCTGGGGCTTTGTAGTTAATTACTACAAGCTGGCTGGCTTAAAACAACAGAAATTTATTTTCACAGGTCTGGAGGCTAGAAGCCTAAAATCGAGGGATTGGTAAAGCCACACCACCTCTGGAGGCTCTAGGGAAGAATCCTTCCTTGCCAATTCTAGCTTCTGGTGGTTGCTGGCAAATTTTGGCATTCTTGGCATATAACAGCATCACTCCAAACTCTGCCTGTCTTCACATGACCACATATTCTCTCTGTGTATGTCTCTGTACAAATTTCCCTCTTGTAAGAGGGACACCAGTTGTCCTAATCCACCGTAACCTCATTTTAACTTGACTGCATCTGCAAAGACCCTATTTCCAAATAATGGAAATGCATTTGGGAGATATGCTACTCAACCTAGCACATAAAATTTGTTTTTATTTCTTAATTCTCTGCATTAGAGTTTGTTTCTAGGTAAGCTTCAAATAATTCCAATGAACAGGATTACTCTTCCAACTTCCTTCTGTGGTCTTCCAACTTAAATCTACCATCTATGATTTGTGAGTGGCTGATACCACTTTACTTATCTTGCCTAGTGAAGCATTTCTGTCCTCCTGTTTTCCAGAGCTTGGGTCCTGATTCTCTACTGCCTATTTCAGTGTATGCATTAAGTTTTTCCATTACTTTTGTCCTCAGCTTTCAGAATTCACTTCCTCAAGATAACTATTCCAATTCTCTTTGCCATTCTCTTTGTAATCAACAGATTTGTTCTTTCCTTTTGGAGACCTCCTCCATACATTTAAGGTTTTACTCAGCCTAATGTGACTGGCTCATCCCAATTCTCTACTCTCTGTAGAAACTGCTCTATTTTCCAAAGTCTCAATCTCCCCCACACTCCGCCCGACTCCCTGCATTTGAAGAGCTCACATTTGATGGTCTCTTTAATAACTTTTGTTTCACTGATGCTGTGGTCTGAATGTTTGCGTTTCCCCTAAAAGTTCCTATGTTGAAATCCTAATGCCTGATGTGATGGTATTAGGAGGCAGGGCAGCACTTTGGGAAGTGCTTAGGTCATGAGGGTGCATTTTAGCACCTTGACCTTGGATTTCCCAATCTCTAGAACTGTGAGAAATAAATTTCTGTTGTTTTTTGAATTAGCTAGTCGGTGGTATTTTGTTACGGCAGCTGGAATGGTTCTATAAATTGTAGTGATTTCTTATGTTTTATCTTCCCAGAAATTTGTAACATTTTCCAGATTTCTTCATCACTTCTTTCTCAAAGTCCATCTTAAATTTATTGTCCTCTGCTCTTGCCTACTTTCTTAAAGTCCTGGTTATAATTTTAAGCCCAGCCTTCTTCTTCTTTTTTTTTAAGATTTTGTTTATTAATTCATGAGAGACACACAGAGAGAGGTGGAGAGAGAGAAGCAGGATCCATGCAGGGAGCCTGACATGGGACTCGATCCTGGGTCTCCAGGATCACACTCTGGACTGAAGGCGGCGCTAAAACGCTGAGCCACCTGGGCTGCCCTAAGCCCAGCCTTCTTAATAGTGAGTTGTATTCCAAAGCATATTCTGAAGTGACCATGAATCCAAGGATTTCTTAGCTCCTGTTATCTTCTATTAACATTTGGACACATTCTTAGGAATTTCTGGGATTTTTCTTTCAAGTGAGGTTTATTTTCAACAATTTGAGCTTTACTTATCTTGCATATTCTGTTTTACATAGAAAGGAACTTTCTTGCACCCAAAAGCATAAGATACCTAGGAATAAACCTAACCAAAGAGGTAAAGGATCTATACCCTAAAAACTATAGAACACTTCTGAAAGAAATTGAGGAAGACACAAAGAGATGGAAAAATATTCCATGCTCATGGATTGGCAGAATTAATATTGTGAAAATGTCAATGCTACCCAGGGCAATTTACACGTTCAATGCAATCCCTATCAAAATACCATGGACTTTCTTCAGAGACTTAGAACAAATTATTTTAAGATTTGTGTGGAATCAGAAAAGACCCCGAATAGCCAGGGGAATTTTAAAAAGGAAAACCATAGCTGGGGGCATCACAATGCCAGATTTCAGGTTGTACTACAAAGCTGTGGTCATCAAGACAGTGTGGTACTGGCACAAAAACAGACACATAGACCAATGGAACAGAATAGAGAACCCAGAAATGGACCCTGAACTTTATGGTCAATTAATATTCGACAAAGGAGGAAAGACGATCCACTGGAAGAAAGACAGTCTCTTCAATAAATGGTGCTGGGAAAATTGGTCATCCACATGCAGAAGAATGAAACTAGACCACTCTCTTGCACCATACACAAAGATAAACTCAAAATGGATGAAAGATTTAAATGTGAGACAAGACTCCATCAAAATCCTAGAGGAGAACACAGGCAACACCCTTTTTGAACTTGGCCACAGTAACTTCTTGCAAGATACATCCACGAAAACAAAAGAAACAAAAGCAAAAATGAACTATTGGGACTTCATCAAGATAAGAAGCTTTTGCACAGCAAAGGATACAGTCAACAAAACTCAAAGACAACCTACAGAATGGGAGAAGATATTTGCAAATAACATATCAGATAAAGGGCTAGTTTCCAAAATCTATAAAGAACTTCTTAAACTCAACACCAAAGAAACAAACAATCCAATCATGAAATGGGCAAAAGACATGAAGAGAAATCTCACAGAGGAAGACATAGACATGGCCAACATGCACATGAGAAAATGCTCTGCATCACTTGCCATCAGGGAAATACAAATCAAAACCACAATGAGATACCACCTCACACCAGTGAGAATGGGGAAAATTAATAAGGCAGGAAACAACAAATGTTGGAGAGGATGCGGAGAAAAGGGAACACTCTTACACTGTTGGTGGGAATGTGAACTGGTGCAGCCACTCTGGAAAACTGTGTGGAGGTTCCTCAAAGAATTAAAAATAGACCTGCCCTACGACCCAGCAATTTCACTGTTAGGGATTTACCCCGAAGATTCAGATGCAATGAAACGCCGGGGCACCTGCACCCCGATGTTTCTAGCAGCCATGTCCACAATAGCCAAACTGTGGAAGGAGCCTCGGTGCCCATCGAAAGATGAATGGATAAAGAAGATGTGGTTTATGTATACAATGGAATATTACTCAGCCATTAGAAACGACAAATACCCACCATTTGCTTCAACGTGGATGGAACTGGAGGGTATTATGCTGAGTGAAGTAAGTCAATCGGAGAAGGACAAACAGTGTATGTTCTCACTCATTTGGGGACTATGAATAATAGTGAAGGGGAATATAAGGGAAGGGAGAAGAAATGTGTGGGAGATATCAGAAAGGGACACAGAACATAAAGACTTCTAACTCTGGGAAATGAACTAGGGGTGGTGGAAGGGGAGGAGGGCGGGGGGTGGGGGTGAATGGGTGACGGGCACGGAGGGGGACACTTGACGGGATGAGCACTGGGTGTTATTCTGTATGTTGGTAAATTGAACACCAATAAAAATTAATTTATTAAAAAAAAAAAAGAAAGGAACTTTCTCCAGATTAAAATAATATATTCACCAACCTCCCTCAAGGCCATGATAACAAGAGGCCTCCAGGCCACTGCGTGAACGTCAGAACTAGGTGTGAATGCTACAGGAAGCATAAGTGATGTTGTTTTCTTCCTGGGTATTCTTCACCTTGCCTAACTTCCTATGTAGATACCCTAGTGGCCAAATCTTCCTTAACTCAATTCTTGGGATATTCCTTTGATTGTTCCAACATGGGCCACCCTTTCCCTTTATGTTTGACTCAAAAAAGTGTTTTTGAACTGCTTCTCCTGTCTGAGTCTGGGGTCAAAGGCAAAGGGGTGGACAGGGGGCAGGACGAAGGGAAGAAGGAAGAGGGACAAGCTGGACTTCTGGGGTATGCCCTCCTCGTTAGTCCCTAAGTGCTGTGTCCTGTGTGTGTGTCCATCTACCACCACCACCTTCTGCCTTCTGCCACCCCCAAACCCCCACTCCTCCGCAGCATCCACCATCCCTACCTCCTCCTCCACCTTGGCATGGTCTGCAGCCTCCTCACATTCTGCTGCTTCCCTCTACCTGTCCCACTAAAGCACATCTGCTCTTCAGGTCTGTGTGCCCAAACTTCCCTGATGAAAAATAAAGATAGCCTTACCCAGGTGGAAAAGCAAAAAACAAAACAAAAACAGATCTTATTTTGAATAGAATACATACTAAGAGATCTTGGTTTTTCTCTTTCTGGTTTATCCAGTGCCAAGTTACTTTGCTGTTACTTTCTGCTGCTTGCTTTTCTCATTGGCAGCCATCCATGTATTGGTTGGAAATAAGTCTTCAGCATTTATTTATCTAATGTGAAATAAAACACATATACTAAAAACTGTACAGAACATTATATAGCATTTAAATTTTTTTAAATAGAAACCCTTTAGACACTATACAACATATATACCATATATATATACCATATATTCTGTAGCACCCAACTATCTCTCTCCTTTGGAGATAAATTCCACCCTTATTTTCTTAGGAATCACTTTCTTGCTTTACTTATCCTCACTTTTAGTATCATTACATTAATGTGCATACTGAAACAGTGCATGTTGCTTCTAAATGTAACTGAAGATTATGTATGTAGATTCAAACCCCATGCATTTTCTGTCTTATTACTTTCTCTCAACATTGTGATATTTATCCACGTTGGATTTAACTGTAATTTGTTCCTTTTCTGTTGTATGAATGTAGTATACTTCCTTATGTTCATAGATAAAGGCACTGTTTGTTTGGGGCTATCAGGAACACTCCTATCCATGGGGCACAGGTACAGAGTTTCATTCATAAGGTCAGTAGTAAGGCCCAGAAGTGTCCATTTCTAAGAAACTGCTGGGAAATACTGGGGGTTTTGGTCTACAGTCCACTCTTGAGTAGCAAGGATTAGTGTAGAGCTGGGAGTCAAAGTGCTGGTCATAGAGAGAGTATCTGTATCTTCAATTTTTTAGAAAATGTCAAACTGGGATCCCTGGGTGGCGCAGCGGTTTGGCGCCTGCCTTTGGCCCAGGGCGCGATCCTGGAGACCCAGGATCGAGTCCCACGTCGGGCTCCCGGTGCGTGGAGCCTGCTTCTCTCTCTGCCTCTCTCTCTCTCTCTCTCTCACTGTGTGCCTATCGTAAATAAATAAAAATTCAAAAAAAAAATATTAAAAAAAAAAAAAAAAGAAAATGTCAAACTATAGAGTTGTTGCATTGATTTACATTTTCTCTCTCTCTCTCTCAGTGTTCCTGTTGTTCATCATTCTTGCCAACATTGGTTATTGTCAGATTCTTAACATTTGTCAATCAGAGAGGTGATTTAAATTTGCATTTTCCGGATATTTATAAAATTGAAAGCCTTTTAATGTTTATTATCCATTTGGATTTTCTCTTTTTGGAAAACGAGGTTCCCCACCACCACCACCCATTTTCTTTTTCTCACTGAAAAAACTGCTGTCTCTTTGACTACTGTTGGGGAGGGAAACTTTTTATCTTTTAAGTTCCATAACTGGGGTCTAATAAAAAGCCATTAACAGGAAAAAATTATTTACTTATATACATATGGTATTTTTTTTTATTTATGATAGTCACAGAGAGAGAGAGAGAGAGAGAGAGAGAGAGGCAGAGACACAGGGAGAGGGAGAAGCAGGCTCCATGCACCGGGAGCCCGACATGGGATTCAATCCCAGGTCTCCAGGATCGCGCACTGGGCCAAAGGCAGGTGCTAAACCGCTGCGCCACCCAGGGATCCCTATACATATGGTATTAACAAAAGAACCTAGCTCATTGAACAGTTAGTCGGAGATTTATACACCTAATTTAGTAGGGAAAATGGTTTCTATGGGAACAATAAATAAATTTACTCAGGAAAAACAAATCAGTTTTAAAAAAAACAATCTGAAAAGAACATTTGTAATAATGTTTATGCTGGTGGAGTGGTCTTTCCTTCCTTTTCATGGCCATGACTCTCCTCTGGGAAAAGGATTTATGGTAGGTTTACTCTTGGTTTCTCTACTGGGGACAGACTCTCACTGAAGAGGGAAATTCTGGCAGCCCCACTTCCCAGAAGTTTCTGCTTTAATCAGATAAGGGAAACTCTCAGAAGGCTTCTTTCTACACCTATTGATTCTCAAATGTCTTAAGTTTAAACTAATCTTCATACTGACCCTGGGGTTCCAAGTGGTCCCTACACCACCTTGTAAATTTCCAAGTTTTTTTTTTCTTCTTGAGGTTTCTTTTTTTCTTTTTCTTTTTAGAGGGAGAGAAAGAGAGCACATGCATGTACAAGCAGGGGGAAGGTCAGAGGGAGAAGGAGAGAGAATCTTAAATCAGACACTTAATAGACTGAGCTGCCCAGACATGACTCTTCTTGAGATTTCTAACTGATAAAGTATCAAGCTATGTAGTTAACCACTTGGTTATTATAGGACCTTTATTTTTAGACCGCTTATAATATCACTGCTTTCAAAAGTCCTCAATTTTTAAATTATTTTTATTTGATTAAAAAGAGACTTTCTGGTATTCATTTTCAGTTGAATTAAATACTAGGCAGGTAAGCATTCTTCTTTTAGTTGGCTTTTTTTTTTTAATTTATTTATGATAGTCACACAGAGAGAGATGAGAGAGAGGCAGAGACACAGGCAGAGGGAGAAGCAGGCTCCATGCACCAGAAGCCCGACGTGGAATTCGATCCCACGTCTCCAGGATCGCGCCCTGGGCCAAAAGCAGGCGCTAAACCGCTGCGCCACCCAGGGATCCCTTAGTTGGCTTTTTAGAGATGCTTTTCAGCAGTCTAAATGAGAATGCATATGGTATAATGTATTCGTTTTTGAGATAAATTTGTTACCTTTCTGAAAAGAGGACTCCTGGAATTGACTTAACTTGGCAAAATCAAAAGCAAAACATCAGAATTTCTGCTTTTCCATTTTCCTATAAATTTCTCTTGATCTAGGGGAAAAAAAACAAAATAAAGTCAAAGTACTGGATTCCTTTTTCCCCTTATAGCTTTACAGTTCTTTTAGAATTTTTAGAACCCACTAAAGTATTTTTTTCTCTGTCTCATTTGTTTTCTTTTGCCAAATACACCTCCCTTTTTCCACAGCTGATGCAAGCTCAGACTGAAATAAGCCCCATTGCAGCAAATAAATTAAACTTGGTAGAGGGAAAAGGAGATGCCCTGCTGAGCAGAGAGCCCGACATGGGGCTCGATCCCAGGACCCTGAGATCATGACCTGAGCCAAAGGCAGATGCTTAACCAACTGAGCCACCCAGGCAACCCTAGAATGTATGTCAAAAACTATTAAAACAAATGAATAGAAAAATGAGACAGGGTTTCCACTGAGTTCCCAGAAAAGAGAATATAAATGACTCTTAAGATGCTCATTTTCCAAGCAAATGAAAATTAAAACTGTTATGTGATACAATGACAATCTTAACACATCATCAAAGGAAATAAGTATGCTAATATGTTGTTGATGAGACTATGGGGAAATATATATACATTGCTAGTGGAAATTAAAGTAGTACAATCTTTACAGGAGGCAGTTTGGCATTTATCTATCAAAATTTCAAATGAATATAACTTTTGACACAGAAATGGTCTTCTAGGAATTTATATTTTGTCATAAATTTGCATAATTGCAAAACAACTTTTTTCATCACAACATTGTTCATATGGACAAAAGACTGGAAAGATCCCAAATGTCCATCAATAGGGCACTGGCAAAAACAAAACAAAAACTACATAGTATATCCATACCATGGACTCTGTCCAGCTATACAAAAAGTGGTAACATTGTATACTCTTATGGGTCTCAAAATTTTTTTAAATGAAAAAATTGATGAAGAACATTATGTATTAGGCCACTGTGTAAAAAAAAAAAAAAGTATATTTGAATTTCCTTGGCTATGCATAAACTACCAACTAGTTGTCTTTGGGATAGGTTTCACTAGAAATTGAGCAAATAGGCTGCAAGGATGTAAAACAGATTTTTCACTATATATTTTCCTACATCTTAATTTTTTAATTTTTAAAATTTATTTTTCTACTTATTTTTTAAAAGGATTTTATTTATTTATTTATTTATGAGAGACACACAGAGAGAGAAGCAGAGACATAGGCAGAGGGAGAAGCAGCCTCCCTGTGGGGAGCTCAATGAGGGACTCCATCCCAGGACTCCAGGATCACATCCTGAGCCAAAAGCAGATGCTCAACCACTGAGCCACCCAGGTGTCCCTACATCTTTTTTTTTTTTTTAATTATGTGACTACTGACACAGATTGGACTTTTAGGGGCAGCTGACTGGCTCACTCAGTACAGCAGGAGACTCTTGATCTTAAGGTTTTAAGTTTGAGCCCTATGTTGGGTGTAGACATTACTTTAAGAAATAAAATCTGGGACGCCTGGGTGGCTCAATGGTTGACTGTCTGCCTTCAGCTCAGTTCATGATCTCGGGGTCCTGGGAGGAGTCCCTCATCGAGCTCCCCACAGGGAGACTGCTTCTCCCTCTGCCTGTGTCTCTCATGGATAAATAAATAAATAAAATCTTTTAAAAAGATTGATGGGATTTTTAAAAATCACTAAAACTCTGTTAGTAGAAGTTTTTAAAGCAATTCCTCAGAATTAAGTTTGCTTAACTATGAAGGAAAAGCAGATGTTTACAACTCCTGATGTGACAAAGTCCATTAAATGCTTTATTTCATGGAATTTTGTTTTGTTTTGTCTTTTTTAAGCAGGCTCCACACTCAGCGTGGACCTGGAGATGAGGCCTGAACTTACCAACCTGAAGTCAAGACCTGAGTTGAGAACAACAACTTAACCAACCAACTTAACAACCTGAGCTTAACCAACTGAGTCACCAAAGTGCCCCTATTTCATGGTTCAGAGTGAAAAAACCTTGGTGTCAATTGCAGACCTATCAACAGCATTTGCACAGGGATACCAATATCTGTACCTGTCAGATAAATCACCTATTTGATATTTAAATCTCACAAAAAAGGAGCCATTCATCCATTCAGTTAGAATGGTAAATAAATAATTTAAAAAAGATTTTATTCATTCATTCATGAGAGACACACAGAGAGAGACAGAGACACAGAGGGAAAAGGAGGCTCCTCACAGGAAGTCCGATGCGGGACTCCATCCCTGGACCCAGGATCACGCTGAGCTGAAGGCAGATGCTCAACCACTGAGCCACCCAACTGTCTGAAGAATCAGGCTTTATTTTTTATTTTATTATTTTTTAAGATTTTATTTATTTATTCATGAGAAATACAGAAAGAGAGGCAGAGACACAGGTAGAGGGAGAAGCAGGCTCCTCGCGGGGAGCCCGACGTGGGACTCCATCCCGGGACTCCAGGATCACGCCCTGGGCTGACGGCGGCGCTAAACCTCTGAGCCCCGCGGGCTGCCCCAGAATCAGGTTTGAATAGTTTAGTTGGGAATGCCAAAGTAGTACAAGGGGAAAAAATATGTTCGATTAACAGTAAAACTAATAACTAGAAGAAAATATTTTTGAGATTTTTGAAGCATGTTTCAACAGTGAAGCTGAAGAGAGGCAAAGATGTCCTGTCCCATCAAACCGAGTATCATGAGGCTGGAAGATGTGTCTAGAGATGGCAGCGGCGGGGAGTCCTAGCGCCAAGCAGTGAGTACGGAAACCATGCACTACACGTAAGGTATCTCTTGAACTCGGCAGGTAAGAATGTAAGAACCAGGCCACTTGTATTCCCACTGGCTGCGGTTGTCCTCGGTGTGAGCGCGCGCCGGGAAGGGAGGACCACGACACAGCCCCGCCGCGCACCTGCAGCTCGCGCTCTCCACTCCAGCCCCAGCTCCGGAGAGAACACCGGACCCGGGACCCGGGACCCGAACCCCGGCGACACAGCCCTGCCGCTCGCACCCTTCCTGAGACCCTCGGAGCGGGAGACGGGGATGACCGCAAAACTCCCCTCGGCCGCCGGCTCCCGGCTCGCATTCTCCCCCAGAGCCCAAGCAAGCGGGCGTTTCCGGAGTCTGCTGCGCATGCGCCAACGACCGAGGCGCCAAGGCGGCTGGGAGCGCAGAGAGGCGGTAAACGCACACGCCCCCTAGAGGCCGGCGGTCTCCGAAGTTGCGCCCGGCGCGGCGGTCACGTAACAACTGAGCCTGAGGTCTGTCACGGGCCCTCGCCGCTGGCTGACGCACCAGTGGGAGGTAGTGGTGGTACTTAGCAAGTCACGTGAGTCTCCGACAGGTTTCACGACCCCGGTCTGACGCTAGTACCTTTAGCGGCGCCCAAACTGGCGCCGTGCTCTAGTATCTTCTTGCCCCCGAAAATGGGAACACCCTTTTCCTTACACAGGGCGGATGTGTTTGAGCAGGGAGGAGGAACAGGTGCATAGGCACCTTGCAGAAGCCTGCACTGACGCACTACGCCCAAAGGTGTGTCGGCACGAGTCCCACCACGCCACAGGCTTTGCTGCGGTCCTCTGGGGACTCCGCCGCGTGGCGACGTCAGAACGCGGCTTCTGCAGGAAGGGTATTCCAAGGCCCTGGCTGCGTCCTGCGTGTTTACTCGCTTCTTCGTGGCCGGAAGTGACGTATCGTGTCTGGCTGCGTCCTGCGTGTTTACTCGCGTCTTCGTGGCCGGAAGTGACGTATCTTGTGCGCGTTTTCTCAGCCCTGCAGTGCGAATCTCTCCTCCGGCCTGCTTCCGGAGTGAAGGAGTCCTCGGCAGGTGCTTGTGTGCTCGTGTGCAGCGAAATAGGAAACCGAAATCGTTTAAAAACTAGTTGAAAGGGTAGTAGGAAGGCTTACCACGAAGAAGGCTCCAGGCTACCCTGATTTCCTTGGGAAGTTAAGCCAAACATATTACTAAGATAACTTTGCCGTCTTATTCAGATGCTTCCAAAATGGGGATAGGGGACAGACACAGGGAGCGCTTCAACGTTTCCTGAGGCTTAGAGAAACCCTAAGAACCTGACAGAGACCCCAAAGTGTTGGGAAGTTTTAAGCCCGTCTTGGTAGACATAAAAACCCTTAAGCAGAATATTAACTGAAACCATCGTATAGAAAGAACAATACATTATAAGCAAGTTAGGTTGTTTTGACGTCAGAATTCAAGATATTTAATGGGTTGATGGAGAAAATGCCCTCTCAAAAAATGTAGAAGAAATAATTAAAATAGAAGGGAAGCTAATCTGATAAAAGGCATCTGCAACATTAAAAGCGTCCTCTTCCTTACAACTGACCTAGGTCCTTTGATACTAGGAGTTTCCTCCGGTCTGAATTTTGCTGATTGCAGATATACGGAGCGTTTCAACGTTCCTCGGTCCCATTTCCTGCTAATTGATAGTTACTAATTTAAACATAGTAATCGGGGCAGCTCGGGTGGCTCGGCGGTTTAGCGCCGCCTACGGCCCGGGGCGTGGTCCTGGAGTCCCCAGATTGAGTCCCACATCAGGCTCCCTGCGTGGAGCCTGCTTCTCCCTCTGCCTGTGTCTCTGCCTCCCTCTCCCTCTCTCTCTCTCTCTCTCTCCTTTCTGTGTATTCTCATGAATAAATAAATAAAATCTTTGTTTAAAAAAAACATAGTAACCATAGTTTTGTAACCTGTGTCATAACTAATGTCTCAATTATTTCTTGGTTCCTTTCTGCTGCCTCATATTTCTGTTGTACATTGTCCATGGTGTCTAGTTTTCTTGTGTATTTGCTTATCCTTGAAAAACTATTTGTGAGAAAAAGTATTTATGGCTTCTTGCAAAAAGGACTTTTGTTTGCTGCCATTAGGTGTTTGAGGCCTTTCAGACTGTTGTCATGGGTTGAGGTTCCTTAGTCATTGCTAACCCAGGCTACAGATCTAAGCAGGAGGGGTGCTTTTTTCCCCTCCTTTTATAGTCAATGTAAAAAACCATCTTTCTTAAAGTTCTTGGGTGCTGCTTCACGTCTACCCTTAGGGTGTAGCCTGTGGAGTCCCAACTTAATGTAGGAAGACTCAACTAACAGTGTTTTCACTTTGGATAGCCCTAGACCTGGGTTGCTCTTTCTATGCTCTGTGAAGCTACCAAAACAGTATTAGATGTTTCCTGTCTAGCAAATGTCCTCAAGGCAAGAGTAGCTTTTGTGCTCCTTTACCTCGTTTGCTTTTCTGGGCTTCTACCTTCTCTTAGCTTTTGGCATGATAGTTCTTTAATAACTTGTCAGCAATTTTGTGGCTTGGAGGAATTTTTTATATATGTTTATAGTTCATTTAGCATATTTACTCATTATATATGGATATATTGATCTGAATAACCTAGCCCGTCATAACCAGAAATAGAAATTTGAGATTTACTTCATTTTCTTCATTCTCTTAATTTTTATATCTCAAAATACCTTGCTGAATGTTACATTCTTATATCACATTTTTTTTCTTAACCTGTGTGTTTTGTAGGTCATTGCTTCATTTTTTTTTAGCATTACATTTTGATAGATTGCTAACAGCCTGATTTCCCCCTATCCTTTATGGTTGACATGTTCTTTTTGTATGGATAAACCACCTTTTTCAGGTCAAACTTGAAGAAAATTTACTATAGTGAATCTCCCTCAGAGAATAAGTAGGCAAGGAACAATCTCCAACTAACCAAAGAGAATTCAGGAAATCAGCTACATTTCTCTTGTTCTAGTTTTATATATTTAGGATTCATATGCACAGCTATATGACCAAAGATGCCAGTATAGATAATTATGGACATTCATTATTTATTGAGTGCCTACTATGTGCTATTAACTGTGCTATATGCTTGATATATAGCTTTGAACATAATAAGATATAAGTCCTTGATCTCACTGACCTCACAGTCAACCCAAAGAGCTAGATATTCAATAACCAAACAACTGTTATTTAATTCGGGTTGTGGTAAGCACAGCCATGACAAAGTACAGGGTGTTATGAAAGTATAGAACAGAAAGACCTAACTCAGTTTGCAAGATTTGGATAGGTGTCAGTGAATAAGTCACAAGTTAGACCTGAAGTGTAAGGAGGAATCAGTCAGGTGGAAAGTTACGGAGTGAGCCTTTTGGGCTGAGGGAACATTATGTGCAAAGGTCCTGAGGCTGAACAAAGCTCAATGACTTCCAGGAGCAAAAAAAAGAAATCTATGCTACTGCAGCATTATAAACAAAGAGGAGGCTTTGTGGGCAACATTAAAGAATTGTGACTTCATCTTGATAGTAAGAAATATTAAAAGTTTTTTAAGTTAGAGATTTGACCATATTTTAGTTTTTATAATACAATATCATTCTGGCCACAAATGAAGGATCTGCATGGGCACAAGTAGAAATGCAGACTCCAGTTTAGAGATAATTGTAGGTGTTTGATAAAACATGAAGCCATTTTGAACTATAGCGATGAAAATAAAGATCTAGAGACTGTATATATTCACAAAACATTCAGAAAGTAGGATCCTTGAGGTGTGGGAACAGGTAAGATATGATTAGGTGATTGAGAGAATTCCTCAAGATTCTGGGGAATCTCAGAATTCTTTCACCTAGAAGAAAAGCTCTACATTCTCTTTCTGGAATAAGGCTGTACTTTTTAGGAAATGGTAAACATTGAAAGTTTGGTCAATATGAAACTTAACAGAAGCGAACAGGGAGAGTGAGAAGAAGGGAAATCCCTGTAAAAGGAGCTGTGTAAAAGTTGTACAGCTTTTGAGGCTCCTAGGAAAATCAGAAGAGTTCAAAGAGTTCCAGTTGAGGACATACTTTCTGGACTCAGCACCTGGCTGTGCTCTCACATGCCTTCCCTTGCCTTTCATGGACCCGAAGTGTCATCCTGGTTTCTGGGATCTAGCCTCCCATGATCTGGTCCTCACTACTGTCACCAACATCCCTTCTGTGACCTAGACATTCTCCTCCCTTTGGATCGGGCTCTATCTACTTCCAGCCTCAGAGGCTAAAGCACCATACCTTCTCTACCCTGATTGGATAAGACTGTTTCCTGGTTAATAACCATGAGTTATTGAGCATCTACTCCATACCATCCACCTTACATTATTTCACTTAACAACTTTGAGAGAGAAACATCATCACTTTTTCCATCTTCAAGATGAGGAAGATGTGGAAACCGGGTCAAGGACTTTAAATGCATAGCCCCAGTTCATAATTCCTGTACGTAGCAGATCTGGGTTTCCACACTGATCTACCCCACTCCAGAACTCTGACTTCATAGGGTTCTGTCTCTGGTTAATCTCTCCTTCAGATTCTTAGCTCTGCATATGTTTGCAAGCCCATCAAGAAATATTACTTGATTTTCTAACAGTTTCCCTTGTGTAATTTAGTTTGTTCTTCTTAACTGGAGACTGCACCCTGATTCCTTCTAATTTTGTTATAATAGCACACAGGAAGGGCCAGAGCCCTGCCTCTGAAAAAGCAATTTCTATCAACTTCATTTGGAAAGGCTTTTTTTTTTTTAGATTTTATTTATTTATTCATGAGAGACACAGAGAGGCAGAGACCAGAGGGAGAAGTAGGCTCCTCATAGGAAGCCCAGTGTGGGACTTGATCCCTGGATCTGGGACCACGCCCCAAACCAAAGGCAGACGCCCAACCACTGAGCCACCCAGGGGTCCCAGCTTAACTTCATTTGGAACGTTGAGGACAAAAAGGGTTAATTATCTGGTAACTTTGGTACTTAGTCTAATTTATCATTTATTTTACTATTTAACTCCTTGTACCCTGTGCTTTCTTCAAGACTGTTGATTAAAGCTGCTTTTTTTTTACTGCTGATCTCTCTCTAAATGTTAACATAGATATGTGTTTAGATATATAATTGTTTACCCCTGCATTTTCTTAGAGTAGTAAAAATCTGAACCAAACTATTGAGTCTAAGTAAAATGCAATTATCCATAAAATGGAACT